TTTCTTTTTCAAATGTGTGTGTCCTTGCCTTTAGGGCATAGATGGTCAGAATTGAGAGTTCATCTTGGTGGATTTTTCCTTTGATGAGCATGAAGTGTTCTTCCTCATCTTTTTTTTTGTAACTTTTGTTTGAAATCTATTTTATTTGATATTAGAATGTCTACTCTAGCTTGTTTCTTGTGGACATTTTGTTGGAAAAATTTTCTAGGCTTTTACTCTGAGGTAGTGTTTGTCTTTGTCACAGATGTGTGCTTCCTGTACGCAGCAAAACGCTGAGTCTTGTTTACAGATCCAGTCTTTCAGCCTAGGTCTTTTTGTTGGGGAATTGATTCCATTGCTGCTGAGAGATACTGAAGAGCAATGATTGTTGCTTTCTCTTATTTTTGTTGTTAGAGGAGGAATTATATTTTTATAGTTCTCTTCTTTTGTGTTTGTTGTGAGAATAATAATTTCTTGGTTTTTCTTTGGTGTATTTTTCCCTCCTTGTATTAGAGTTCTACTTCTATTATCCTCTATAGGGTAGGTTTAGTGGAAAGATATTGTTTAAATTTGGCTTTGTCATAGAATATCTTGTTTGCTCTATCTGTGGTAATTGAGAATTTTGCTGGGTATAGTATTGTGGGCTGGCATTTGTGTTGTGTTAGGGTCATTATGACATCTGCCCAATATCTTCCGGCTTTTAGAGTCTCTGTTGAGAAATCTGGTAGAATTCTGATAGGTCTGCCTTTATATGTTACTTGACCTGCTTCCCTTATCACTTTTAATATTCTTTCTTTGTTCTGTGCATTTCGTGTTTTGATTATTATGTGACAGCAGGAATTTCTTTTCTGGTTAAATCTATTTAGTATTCTGTAGGCTACTTGTATGCTTATAAGCATTTCTTTCTTTAGGTTAGGGAAGTTATTTTTTTATGATTTTTTTATTGGATATTTCATTTACATTTCAGATGTGATCCCTTTTCCCCGTTCCTTCTCCACACCCCCCAAGGAAACCTCTATCCTATCCCCGTATTCCTGTTTCTATGATGATATGCCCTCACCCACCCTCCCACCTTCCCACCCACAAATTTCCCCACACTGAGACTTCCAGCCTTCACTGTACCAAGGACTTCCTCTCCCACCTATACCCCACAATGCCTCCTTCCCCTACAGCTGGAGTCATGGGTCCCTCCCTATGTGCTCCCAGGCTGCTTGTTTAGACCCTGGGAGCTCTGGTTGGTTGGTATTGTTGCTCTTCCTATGGAGCCACAAACCCTTTTAGCTTCTTCAGTCTTCTCTCTCACTCCTTCATTGGGAACCCCATGATCAGTTCTATGGTTAGCTGTGAGCATCTTCCTCTGTATATTTCAGGCTCTGGCAGACCTCTAGGAGACAGCTATATCAGGCTCCTGTCAGCACACACTTCCTGGCATCTACACCAGTGTCTACCTTTGGTGACTGCACATGGGATGGATACCCAGATGGAACAATCTCCAGATGACCCCTCCTTCAGTTTCTGTCCCACACTTTGTCTCCATATTTCCTCCCATAAGTATTTTGCTACTCCTTCTAAGAAGGACCAAAGCACTCACACTTTGGTCTTTCTTGTTCATGAGCTCATGTGGTCTATGAGTAGTATCTTGGATATTGTGAGCTTTCGGGCTTATATCCACTTATCAGTGAGTGCATGCCATGTGTGTTCTTTTGTAATTAGGTTACCTCACTCAGGATGACATTTTCTAGTTCCATCCATTTGCCTAAGAATTTCTTGAATTCATTGTTTTTAATAGCTGAGTAACACTCCATTGTGTAAATGCACCACATTTTCTGTATTCATTCCTCTGTTGAAGGATTGTTTTTAATAGCTGAGTAATATTCCATTGTGTAAATGTGCCACATTTTCTGTATCCATTCCTCTATTGAAGGACATCTGGGTTCTTTCCAGCTTCGGGCTACTATAAATAAGGCTGCTATGAACATAGTGGAGCATGTGCTCTTGTTATGTGTTGGAGCATCTTCTGGGTATATGCCCAGGAGAGGTATAGCTGGGTCCTCAGATAATGCTATGTCCAACTTTCTGAGGAACCACCAGACGGATTCCAAGAGTGGTTGTACCAGCTTGCAATCCCACCAACAATGGAGGAGTGTTCCTCTTTTCCCATACCATAGCAAGCATCTGCTTGAACCTGATTTTTTGATTATGGCCATTCAGACTGGTATGAGGTGGAATGTAAAGGTTGTTTTGATTTGCATTTCCCTGATGACTAAGGATGTTGAAGATTTCTTTAGGTGCTTTTCAGCCATTGAAGGTTCCTCATTTGAAATTCTTTGTTTAGCTCTGTACCCCATTTTTAATAGGGTCATTTTCTTGTCTGGAGTCTTAATTCCTTGAGTTCTTTGTATACTTTGGATATTAGCCCTTTATCAGATGTAGGATAGGTAATGATTTTTTCCCAATCTGTTGGTTGCCATTTTGTCCTATTGACAGTATTACAGAAGCTTTGCAATTTTATGAGGTCCCATTTGTCAATTCTTGCTCTTAGAGCATAAGCCATTGGTGTTCTGTTCAGGAACTTTCCCCCTGTGCCCATGTGTTTGAGGCTCTTCCACATTTCTCTTTTATTAGATTCAGTATATCTGATTTTATGTGGAAGTCCTTGATCCACTTGCATTTGAGCTTTGTACAAAGAGGTAAGAACGGATTGATTTACATTCTTCCACCTGCTGACCTTCAGTTCAACCAGCACCATTTGTTGAAAATGCTGTCTTTTTCTACTGAAGTTTTTTAGCACCTTTGTCAAAGACCAAGTGACCATAGGTGTGTGCTTTCATTTCTGGGTCTTCGATTCTAGTCCTCTGACCTTCCTGCCTATCTGTACCAATACCATACAGTTTTTTTTTAATCACTATTGCTTTGTAATACAGCTTGAGGTCAGAGATGATGAGTCCCCCCTGGAGTTTTTTAATTGTTGAGAATAGTTTTCACTGTCCTGGGTTGTTTTTTATTCCAAATGAACTTGCAAGTTGCTCTACCTCTATGAATAATTGAGTTGGAATTTTGATATAGATTGCATTGAATCTGTAGATGCTTTCAGCAAGATTTTTACTATAGTAATCCTTCCAATTCATGAGCATGGGAGATCTTTCCATGTTTTGAGATCTTCTTCAATTTTCTTTCTTCAGAGACTTGAAGTTCTTGTCATAAAATCTTTCACTTGCTTGGTTAGAAACTTTGAGTTTCATTTATGAATGTGGGTGCACTTGTGTTTGGAGAATAGATATTCAGAATTGTGAGTTCACCCTGGTAGATTTTTCCTTTGACAAGTGTAAAGTGTTCTTCCTTATCTTTTTTGATAACTTTTGGTTGAAAGTTGATTTTATTCTGTATTAGACTGGTTACTTCAGCTTGTTTCTTGGGACCATTTGCTTAGAAAATTTTTTCCAGTCTTTTACTCTGTCTGTTTTTGTCACTAAGTTGTGTTTTCTGTATGCAACAAAATACTGGGTCCTGTTTACATATCTAGTCTGTTAGTCTATGTCTTTTTACTGGGGATTTGAGTCTAGTGATGTTAAGAGATATTAAAGAAAAGTAAATGTTGCTTCCTGTTATTTTTGTTATTAGAGATGGAGTTATGTTTGTGTGGCTATCTTTGTTTGGGTTTGTTGGAAGAAGGATAATTTCTTGCCTTATCTTGTGTTGGAATTTTCCATTTATTATCCTTTGTAGTGCTGAATTTGTGGAAAGAAATTGTGTAAATTTTGTTTTGTCATGGAATATCTTGGTTTCTCCATCTATGGTCATTGAGAGTTTTACCTGGGTATAGTAGCCTGGGCTGGTGTTTGTGTTCTCTTAGGGTCTGTATGACATCTGTCCAGGATCTTCTGGCTTTTGTAGTCTCTGCTGAGAAGTCTGGTGTAATACTGATAGGTCTGTCTTTATAAGTTACTTGACCCTTTTCCCTTACTGCTTTTAATATTCTTTCTTTGTTTTGTGCATTTGATGTCTTGATTATTGTGTGATGGGAGTTATTTCTTTTCTGGTCTAGTCTATTTGGAGTTCTGTAAGTTTCTTGTATGTTCATGGGCATCTCTTTATTTAAGTTAGGGAAGTTTCTACCATACTGTTGTTGAAGATATTTACTGGCTCTTTGATTTCAGAATCTTCACTCTCTTCTATACCTGTTATCCTTAAGTTTCTTCTTCTCATTGTGTCCTAGATTTCCTGGATGTTTTGGGTTAGGAGCCTTTTGCATTTTGCATTTCTTTGACCTTGCTGTCAATGTTTTCTATGGCATCTTTTGCACCTGAGATTCTCTCTTTTATCTCTTGTATTCTGTTGGTGATTCTTGCATCCATGACTCCTGATCTTTTTTTTTTAAGTTTTATATCTCCTGGGTAATCTCCCTTTGTGATTTCTTTATTGTTTCTACTTCCATTTTTAGATCCTGGATGGATTTTTTCAATTCCTTACCTGTTTGTGTGTGTGTGTGTTTCTTTAATTCTTTAAGGAATTTTTGTGTTTTCTCTTTAAGGGCTCCTAATCTGTTTACCTGTGTTCTCCTGTATTTCTTTAAGAGAATTATTTATGTCCTTTTTAAGTCCTCAATCATTATCCTGAGAAGTGATTTTAAATCTGAATGTTGCCTTTCTGAATGTGTGATGTGGTGTCCAGGACTTGCTATGGTTGGAGAATTGGGTTCTGATGATGCCAAGTAACCTCGGTTTCTGTTGCTTACATTCTTTTTTTTGTTTTGTTTTGTTTTTTCCCATTTTTTTTAATTTCTTTTTTTTTTTGAACATGAAATGCTTTTTTATAGCATGTTTTACAAGGGGAGGGGGTAAGAGGGTCCAAGTGGTGGAAAAGTACAAAATCTTCTTGGCCTGTGCCTTGAAACATGTCATGGTCTATATGGTACACTGCCTTGAATTATGATCTACCTGCAGTTCTTCAGAAGATATGGTACACTGCTTGAGTTATGGTCTCCCTGCTATTCTTAAGAAGACATGGTACTCTGCTTTGAGTCTATCTGCAGTTGCTAAGCAGGATCTTGCAGTTGCCAAGCTTCAGAGGACATTGAGCAGGTGGGGAAAGGTAGGGGGTAAGGGTAAGGGCGAGGGTCCTGGCTTCTGGCATCTCCCCCTTCTCTGTTTAGTTAGAGAAGGCGTCTTATGTTCAATCCCAACTATGTGAGTTTTGAATTTGGATGTCTAATTATGGGGGGTCTTAGACAAGTTCACAACCCCAAAACACTGATGTGAGACGAGTCACATCGATGGTCGAAGGCTTTAGGCTGTCGACGATGGGCAACGTCAAGGGACTCTGATGTGGGTGAAAGGAGGGTGAGAGCCCTGTCTTAGGCCATGTAGGCTGCACCCACTCCCAGCACCACACACTCCTTTTCGGCTGCATTGGGTGGGCCCCTGGGAAGTGGACCTACAATAATCCCGTCATTGGGCTAACTCACAGCCATCCTAGTCTCTTGTAAATGTTCAAGTTACCAAACATTTGTCAGTTTGGGGTGTAATATTGTCATAAAGGAAGGCTCCCCAATGTTAGCGGCCATGTCAAGGGTGGCCTTGGTTTAGGAAAAAGCCAATTTTTGTTGTGGTGATCAAGAGGCCAAGCTCTCTAGCGAGAGAAATGAGGGCAAAGCCAGGCATACCAGGAACCCTTCTGGAGGGCGTGGAAGTCTAGGGGTCGACCGTAGGGGGAGGCAGGGGAGCTGACAGCTGTGTCAGTCTCCTGCCGGGTCACTTCTGGATCCTCTGCAATTTTCAGCTGATGGTAATGAACTTCAATTGCCTTCTTGATGGCAGCATCAACCTGGTTCCGTGGACGACAGGTCACGGGCGATGATCTCTGTCTTGCTCAATCTTGATGTCGTGCGCACATCCTCTCAATGAGGGTCCGTCCGGATGGGTCCGTGCCTCGAGCCCCACGTCTGGGTGCCACTTGACCCGACCGGCGGGTCCTGGTTATTCGTGGGGGCGAGGAGGACTGCAACCTGCTATTCTTCAGAAGATATGGTACACTGCTTGAGTTATGGTCTCCCTGCTATTCTTCAGATGATATGGTACACTGCTTTGAGTCTATCTGCAGTTGCCAAGCAGGATCTTGCAGTTGCCCAGCTTCAGGGAACCTTGTGCAGGTGGGAAAAGGTAGGGGGTGAGGGTAAGGGCGAGGCTCCTGGCTTCTGGTCCATCTGGGTTAGAACTTCTAATAGCAGGCATCACAGGTGATTCAATTTTACCTGGAAAGAAAAAAGAAGGGGATTCTCAGGGAGATTTCTCTTCCCTGGACGTAAATTGTTATTCATTGTATTTATGATTGGGCCTGGCTTTGTGAGGGTATCTATTTTTTTCATTAATATTTGTGGTAGCCGGTTAGCTGTGCCTTCTGTGGTATTGGGCAGGCATATCAGTCCTCGGCTCCATAAGGGAACTGGGACTGGGGCATTCCCTTTATGGGTATGAGGGTCCTTCCCCATATCTGTGGCAAAGTTTTGTTGGTCTTGGTGGTGCCCGAGGTCAACAACATGGTCAGCAAGAGATTTGCCATGAGCTTTCAGCTTTAGAGAGAGAAAAGTGAACAAGGCATGACGGAGAGTATTTCAGGGGGACTCCTTCTGAGGGGGTACCGTTCCCCCTGTTTTGTTTTTAAAGCCAATTTTTCAGAGTTCTTGTAAAATCAGGGCAGAAGCGCCAACAGTTGCTCCTTCCACACTCAGAGAGTCATGAAGGCCTTATTTAAGGATATATAAATCTATATTAATAATCTTTTGTCAAAGGACTTTTATAGCACCACTGACAATTAATCAGACTATATGATATATCGATTAGAAATAGCTTTTTCTACTTTTTGTGAGATTACCTCTCTTTTGTCAATTAACTGTTGAGGAAGTTAGGGTTTACCTCTCTCTTGTGAATATTGAACAGAGATTTAAATTCTTTTGTGGAGAGCTTAAAATAGTATCTTAGCCAATTTGCATCTCCTAGAAACTTTTGAAGTTAATTTAAAATAAATAGACTTCCTTTTTTTTTAAAATCCTTTATCTGTGTGGGGTTTTTATTGGGTATTATACGTATTTACCTTTCAATGTTGTATCCTTTCTCATTCTCCCCCCAAATCCCTTATCCCCTACCCCTTCCTCCTAATTTTTGTGATGGTGTGCTCCAAACATCCTCCCAGTCCCATCTCCCTGCTCTCGAATTCCAACACAGTAGGGGATCCAAACTTTTGGGGACCTTGGCCCTCCACTTTCACTGGAGTCTAACAAGGTCACCCTCAATTCCCTATACAGGTGCGTGAGTCCCTCCCTTTGTGCTCTCTGGTTGGTGGTTTAGACTTTGGGAGTTCTGGTTGAAACTTTTGATGCTCCTTCTATAAAGGACCAACGCATTCATACTTTGGTCTTCCTTCTTCTATGTGAGTTTTATGTGGTCTATATGAAGATTCTTAGAAATTGTGAGCTTTTGGGCTAATATCTACTTATCAGTGAGTGCATACCATGTATGTTCCTTTGAGATTGGGTCATCTCACTCAAGATGATATTTTCCAGCTCCATCCATTTGCCTAGGAATTTTGTGAACTGATTGTTTTTAATAGCTGAGTAGTACTCCATTGTATAAATATACCACATTTTCTGCATCCATTCTTCTGTTGAAGGGCATCTGGGTTCTTTCCAACTTCTGGCTATTATAAATAAGGCTGCTATGAACATGGTGGAGCATGTGTCCCTGTTGTATGTTGAAACTTCTTTTGGGTATATGCCCAGGAGTGGTATAGCTGGGTCCCTAGGTAACGCTATGTTCAATTTTCTGAGATACCGCCAGACTGCCTTCCATAGTGGTTGTACCAGTTTACAATCCCACCAACAGTGGAGGAGTGTTCCTCTTTCTCCACATCCTCGCCAACATGTACTGTCACCCGTGTTTTTGATCTTAGCCATTCTGACTGGTGTGAGGTGGAATCTCAGTGTTGTTTTCATTTGCATTTCCCTGATGACTAGGGATGCTGAACACTTCTTTAGGTGCTTCTCAACCATTCGAGCTTCCTCAGTTGAGAATTCTTTGTTCAGGTCTGTGCTCCATTTTTTAATAGGGTTCTTTGATTGTCTAGAGACTAATTTCTTCAGTTCTTTGTATACCTTGGATATTAGTCCTTTATCAGATGTAGGGTTGGTGAAGATCTTTTCCAAATCTGTTGGTTGCCGCTCTGTCCTATTGACTGTGTCCTTTGCTTTACAGAAGCTTTGCAGCTTTATGAGGTCCCACTTGTCAATTTTTGGTCTTAGAGCACAGGCCATTGGCGTTCTGTTCAGGAACTTTTTCCCTGTGCCTATGTATTCCAGGCTTTTTCCCAGTTTCTCTTCTATTAGTTTCAGTGTGGCTGGTTTTAGGTGGAGGTCCTTAATCCATTTGGAATTGAGCTTCGTACAAGGAGATAAGTATGGATCAATTTTCATTTTTCTACATGCTGACCACCAGTTGGACCAGCACCATTTGTTGAAAATGCTATCTTTTTTCCATTCGATGGTTTTAGCCCCTTTGTCAAAGATTAAGTTACCATAGGTATGGGGGTTCATTTCTGGGTCTTCTATTCTATTCCACTGATCCTCCTGCCTGTCTCTGTTCCAATACCATGCAGTTTTTATCACTATTGCTTTGTAGTACAGCTTGAAGTCGGGGATGGTGATTCCTCCAGAAGTTCTTTTATTGCTGAGAGTAGTTTTCACAATCCTGGGTTTTTTGTTATTCCAAATAAATTTTAAGATTGCTCTTTCTATCTCTGAGAAGAATTGAGTGGGAATTTTGATGGGGATTGCATTAAATCTGTAGATGGCTTTTGGCAAAATAGCCATTTTTACTATATTAATCCTTCCAATCCATGAGCATGGGAGATCTTTCCATCTTCTGAGATCGGCTTCGATTTCTTTCTTCAGGGGAATGAAGTTCTTGTCATACAGGTCTTTTACTTGCCTGGTTAGGTTCACACCAAGGTATTTTATATTATCTGTGACTATTTTGAAGGGTGTCATTTCCATAATTTCTTTCTCAGCCAGTTTATCTTTTGAGTAGAGGAAGGCTACTGATTTGCTTGAGTTAATTTTATATCCAGCTACTTTGCTAAAGTTGTTTATCAGGTTTAGGAGTTCTCTGGTGGAAGTTTTGGGGTCACTTAAGTATACTATCATATCATCTGCAAATAGTGAGATTTTGACTTCTTCCTTTCCAATTTGTATCCCTTTGACCTCCTTGTGTTGCCTAATTGCTCTGGCTAGGACTTCCAATACTATATTAGATAAGTAGGGGGAGAGTGGGCAGCCTTGCCTAGTCCCTGATCTTAGTGGGATTGCTTCAAGTTTCTCTCCATTTAGTTTAATGCTGGCTACTGGTTTGCTGTAAATTGCTTTTACTATGTTTAGGTATGGACCTTGAATTCCTGACCTTTCCAACACTTTTATCATGAAGGGGTGTTGAACTTTGTCAAATGCTTTCTCAGCATCTAGTGAGATGATCATGTGGTTTTTTTCTTTGAGTTTGTTTATATAATGGATTACATTGATGGATTTCCGAATATTGAACCAACCCTGCATTCCTGGGATGAAGCCAACTTGATCGTGATGGATAATTGTTTTTATGTGTTCTTGAATTCGGTTTGCTAGAATTTTATTGAGTAATTTTGCATCAATGTTCATAAGGGAGATTGGCCTGAAGTTCTCTTTCTTTGTTGGGTCTTTGTGTGGCTTAGGTATGAGTGTAATTGTGGCTTCAAAGAATGAGTTGGGTAGTGTACCTTCTGTTTCTATTTTGTGGAATAGTTTGAAAAGAATTGGGATTAGGTCTTCCTTGAAGGTCTGATAGAATTCTGCACTAAAACCGTCTGGTCCCGGGCTTTTCTTTGTAGGGAGACTTTTAATGACTGCTTCTATTTCTTTTGGGGTTATGGGACTGTTTAGATGGTTTATCTGGTCCTGATTTAACATTGGCAACTGGTATTTGTCTAGGAAATTGTCCATTTCATCCAAGTTTTCCAATTTTGTTGAATATAGGCTTTTGTAGTAGGATCTGATGATTTTTTTAATTTCCTCAGTTTCTGTTGTTATGTCCCCCTTTTGAGTTCTGATTTTATTAATTTGGATACTGTCTCTCTGCCCTCTGATTAGTCTAGCTAAGGGTTTATCTATCTTGTTGATTTTCTCAAAGAACCAGCTCCTGGTTTTATTGATTCTTTGGATAGTTCTTTTTGTTTCAATTTGGTTGATTTCAGCCCTGAGTTTAATTATTTCCTGCCTTCTACTCCTCTTGGGTGTATTAGCTTCTTTTTGTTCTAGGTCTTTCAGGTGCTTTGTCAAGCTGTTAGTGTATGCTCCCTCCAGTTTCTTTTTGTAGGCACTTAGAGCTATGAATTTTCCTCTTAGCACTGCTTTCATTGTATCCCATAAATTTTGGTATGATGTGTCATCATTTTCATTAAATTCTAAGAAGTTTTTAATTGCTTTCTTTATTTCTTCCCTTACCTGATTATCAAGGAGTAGGGTGTTGTTCAGTTTCCATGTAAATGTGGGCTTTCCATTCTCTTTGTCATTTTTGAAGACCAGCCTTAGACCATGGTGATCTGATAGGATGCAGGGAATTATTTCAATTTTCTTATATCTGTTGAGGCCTGTCTTGTGCCCAGTTATATGGTCTATTTTGGAGAAGGTACCATGAGGTGCTGAGAAAAAGGTATATTCTTTTGCTTTAGGATGAAATGTTCTATAGATATCTGTTAAGTCCATTTGGTTCATAACTTCTGTTAGTTTTACTGTATCTCTATTTAGTTTCTGTTTCCATGATTTATCCATTGCTGAGAGTGGGGTGTTGAAGTCTCCCACTATTATTATGTGAGGTGCAATGTGTGTTTTGAGCTTTAGTAAGGTTTCTTTTATGAAATTCGATGCTCTTGTATTTGGCGCATAGATATTCAGAATTGAGAGTTCATGTTGGTTGACTTTTCCTTTGACAAGTATGAAATGCCCTTCCTTATCCTTTTTGATAGTTTTAAGTTGAAAGTTGATTTTATTCGATATTAGAATGGCTACTCCCGCTTGTTTCTTAGTGCCATTTGCTTGAAAAATTGTTTTCCAACCTTTTACTCTAAGGTAGTGTCTGTCTTTGTCACTGAGGTGGGTTTCCTGTAAGCAGCAAAAAGCTGGGTCCTGTTTGCGTATCCAGTCCGTTAGCCTATGCCTTTTTATTGGGGAATTGAGTCCATTGATGTTAAGAGATATTAAGGAGAGGGTGTTCTTGCTTCCTGTCATTTTTGCTAATAGTGGAGACATCGTTTGTGTGGTTATCTTCTTTTGGGTTTGATGGAAAAGGATTATTTTCTTGCTCTTTCTGGGGTATGATTGCCCTCCTTGTATTGGAGCTTTCCTGCTATTATCCTTTGTAAAGCTGGATTTGTGGGAAGATACTGTGTAAATTCAGTTTTGTCATGGAATATCTTAGTTTCTCCGTCTATGGTAATTGAGAGTTTTGCTGGGTAAAGTAGCTTGGGCTTGCATTTATGTTCTCTTAGGGTTTGTATGATATTTGTCCAGGATCTTCTGGCTTTTATAGTATCTGGTGAGAAGTCAGGTGTAATTCTGATAGGTTTGCCTTTATATGTTATTTGGCCTTTTTCCCTTACTGCTTTTAAAATTCTGTCTTTGTTTTGTACATTTTGAGTCTTGATTATTATGTGACGGGAGGTATTTCTTTTTTGATCTAGTCTGTTTGGTGTTCTGTAGGCTTCTTGTGTTATTATGGGCATCTCATTCCTTAGGTTAGGGAAGTTTTCCTCAATAATTTTGTTGAAGATATTTACTGGCCCTTTAAGTTGGGAATCTTCACTCTCATCTATACCTATTATCCTTAGGTTTGGTCTTCTCATTGCGTCCTGGATTTCCTGGATATTTTGAGATAGCAACTTTTTGCATTTTGCATTTTCTTTGATAGTTATGTCAATATTTTCTAAGGTATCTTCTGCACCTGAGATTCTTTCTTCTATCTCTTGTATTCTGTTGGTGATGCTTGTGTCTATGACTCCTGATTTCTTTTTTAGGTTTTCTATCTCCAGGATAGTCTCCCTTTGTGATTTCTTTATTGTTTCCACTTCCATTTTTATGTCCTGGATGGTTTTGTTCAATTCCTTCATCTGTTTGTTTGTGTTTTCTTGTAATTCTTTAAAGGATTTTTGTGTTTCTTTAAGGACTTCATCCTGTTTTCCTGTGTTCTCCTCAAGTTTTTTGATAGTGTTATTTACTTCCTTCTTGTAGTCCTCTAGCATCATCATTAGAAATGATTTTAGATCTGGTTCTTGTTTTCCTGGTGATATGGGGAGTTCAGGACTTTCTAATGTGGGAGAACTAGGTTCTGATAATGGCAAGTACCTTGGGTTGCTGGTGCTTGTGTTCTTGCGCTTGCCTTTCGCCATCTGGATCACCTTTGTGCTATCAGTGCTGTCTCTGACTGGGGCCTGTCTTTCCTATTATCTAGGTTGTGTCAGAACTGTTTGGGATGGGTTTTGCTGCTTGAGTTAGAGCTGAGGCCCAAGATGTGCTCGGTGCTCAGGTGGAAACCGGAAGGGGCCGGGGCTCCGGGTCAGGAGCGGATTCCTGGATCCCAATGAGTCCCAGTGGGTCCCAGTGGGTCCCAGTTGCTCCCTGATTGGGGGCGAGCACTGCCACCTCCTAGCCTAAGAAACTGCTTGAGCTAGCTTGAGCCACGGAGAGCCCCGCTCCCTCTAGGTTCTGTGAGATTGGGTGCAGAGCTGACTCCCAGGATCTGCTCTGGCACAGACCGGAAGGAACCCACGCTCCGGGCCCTGGAGTGAACTCCTGGGTCCCAGTGGGTCCTAGCCACTCCCTGTTCGGGGGCAAGCACTGCCACCTCCTAGCCCAAGACCCTGCTTGGCACAGAGGTCTTGTGAGCCCCGCTTCCTCTGGAGTCTGCGAGATTGGGTGCAGAGCTGCCTCCCGGGATCCGCGAGTGCTCGGGCCCAGACCGGATGGAGCCCGCTCCAGGCCAGGAGCGAAATCCTGGGTCCCAGTGGGTCCCTGTTGTTCCCTGTTTGGGGTGAGTGCTGCTTTTTCCTTACCTGGGATGCTGCGTGAGTTCAAGCTCCTGGGAGTCCCTGTTTTTCTTGGTTTTCTGCGGTTGGGTACCTGTTGCTTACATTCTTGAGCTTGCATTTTGCCATCTGTTTATCTCTAGTGCTACCTTCACGCAATGTCTCTGACTGGAGCCTATCTCTCCCGTTATCTTGGCTGTATCAGAGAGCTCCTCAGAGTCCAGTTGTCTCTCTGATCCAGTGATTCTGGGTGTCAAAGCTCCTGGGAGTCAGGCTTCCTCTGTAATCCAGTTGTCTCTGTAATTCTATGATCCTGTGTGTGTTAGAGTTCTTGGGAGTTCAGCTTCCTCTGTGATCCTGGTGTTGTTAGATCTCCTGGGAGTCTAGCTTCCTCTGGGTACTGTGAGATTGATTGCAGAGGTAGTGCCCTAGGTCTGCTCAGTGCACAGGCTCAGAGTGGACAGAATCCATGCCAATGGGTCAAGGTATCGTGTCTTCAAGGGAGCAGACAAGCTAAGAGTCAGCTGCTCTGAGTGCAGTAGATCCTCAACTGCTCCGAGTGAAGCAAATCCTCTGGGCTGGGTTTCAATATGGTGTCTTCCCGGAAGCAGACCAGTTATGAGTCTGCCCCAGCAAGAAGGGCCAGGCAGAGTGGGTGGAAGGGGAGTGGTATTCTGGACGGCAGAGTTTTCATGGGTGATGTGTACCTAGTGAGCTGCTGGTCTCCCAGCTGCATCTCTGGGACTTTGTGACTTGAGGGAGGGTTCTTACCAACTGCTCTGAGTGCAGCAGATCCTCTGGGATGGGTTTGAATATCGTGTCTTCCCGGGAGCAGACCAGCTATGAGTCTGCTCCAGGGAGTAGGGCCAGGTTGAGGGATCTCCGGTATTTCTTTAAGGGTGTCGTTTACGTCCTCCTCAAGTTTTTTTATCATCTTCATGAGATTGGATTTTAGATTAGAATCTTGCTTTTCAGGTGTGTTCAGGTATCCAGGGCTTGCTGTGGTTGGAGAACTGGGTCTGATCTTGCCAAGTGTTATTGCTTTCTGCTGCTTATGTTCTTGCACTTGCCCCTTGTCATCCGATTATCTCTGCTATTAACTGGCCTTGCCGTCTCTGACTTGAGCCTGTTTCTCCTGTGAGCCTGGTTATGTTGGGCCTCCTTGTGCCAGGTTGTCCCTGGGTCTGGAAGGGTCTGAGTGCGTGACCTGTGTATCTGGCTGTGTCAGAACTCCTGTGGAGCCATATTCTCTCTGGAGTTATATGGGTTGGCTGGGGATGAAGCACAGGATCTATTCTCGGGAGCAGACGTGAACCTGAAGAAATGTGTGTCTCCAGAGAGACATAAGGTCCTATGTCCTCTGGGCCCTGGGGGTCCCAGTTAGGCCAAGTATTGGGGTAAAGGGACTCACCTGTGAGCCTGAGGGAGTCAGAACTCCTAGGTTCAAGCTATCTGTGGGTGTGGGCAGTGTGGTGTGAGGGCTTGAGCACAGGATCTGCTCCTGGGCACAGATGTGAACCGGAAGGACCTATACAAAACATTTTTACCTATTTCTCTTTTTCTTCTCCTTCCTTTGGAGAATTCATTTTATTACTTTCAAACTTAATATATCTTCTTACTGTGTATGTTCATTTTTTCTTTTGTTTCTTTAGCAACTGTGCATCTTTCACAATATTTCTTTTTCTCTTCCTCTCCTTCAGTGACTTTACTTTCTAGGCGTATTTTCTTATTTTTCTTTTGCTGCTTTCTACCTTAATATCTTACTTTGCATTTTATATTTTTAAAAGTCTTTCCCTGAGGATTTCCTATAAGCATTTACCTTACTGTCTCCTTGTCAGCTTTTCATCCTTGAGCTGCTGTCATGGCCAAAGATCCCTGGGAGCATCAGTCTGTGCAGGACTGCAGCTATTCTCTGACCCTGTGAGCCAAGCCTTAGAGGGCCAGGCCACTGGCTGGGACACCTGATGGGAAGGGGCAGTTTTACCTTATGAGTGCAACAAACCTGCCAGAGAGATTTCTGTGTTTGCCCACCTTGGTTCTCAGAAGTATTCCTGTAAGGCCAAAGGGCTCTGACTTCACCTTTTCCTGTAGTTTTCACCCCTCGGCCTGCTCATATGCTCCTCTCAAGTGCTCAACTGCAGGGACGCAGGGACTCTTAACAGTCCTAAGCTTTTTTTTTTTTTTTTTTTTTTTTAGATGAGTGAGAACTGGGCCTGACTGAGAGACTGTAGTTGTTAAGAAACTAAGTCCTTCTCTGTGTCCTGGGCTTTTCAAGTCTTTCTTGGGCCCTTTGCTCAGGTTATATGCATCCACTTGGGACATAAAGTTGGGCAGGTATAGAGGAGAGACAGGCCTGGCCCAGGTAGAGGACATGAGGCTTCAGGAATGACTATGTGGATGCTCATTTTCTTCATCCTTAACAGTGACTTACCAGTTTACAATGGACAAGATCAATACAAGACTGTCTGAACTTCACGCATACCATTCCAGTTTCACCTGCTTCAGTGAAGGGATTATGATGTCAGGTGAGTTACACTATTTCCCTAGAGTTGGATGAATGGGGGAGGGAGAGAGGAGTGTGATGGGGAGGAAAAGGGATGGGAGAAGGGAGGGAAAGGGGGAGAAAAATGGTGAGGGAGAGGGATGAATAAAGAGAGGGAGAGGTGGAGGTAGAGGGAGGAAAAGTAGAGAGAGAAGAGGAGGGAGAGGAAGAAGTTATGATCAAGATTGAGTTTAAGACTTACTATACTGTGTGTGTATGTGAGTGTGTGTGTGTTTGTGTGTGTTTGTGTGTATGTGTGTGTGTGGTAAGTATAACTGTGTATATGTAGTATGTGTGTGTGGTAAGTATAATTGTGTGCATGTAGTATGTATGTGTGTGGTTTGTATATATGTGTGTAAATGTGTGATGTGTATGTATTTTGTTTGGCTTTTTCTTGATTTCTTTAAGGAATTTTTATTCATTTTTCTTACATCTATCATCTTCATAAAGTTGATTCTGAGGTCTTTTTCTCATGCTTTAGCTGTGTTGAGATATTCAGGGCTTGCTCTAGTACGTGAAATCTGGGACATGTCTGAGTTTGTCTTTGTTGGGTTTTATTTCCTGGTTTCCGTTTCATCTCTGGTCTTCTGGTCTGTGTGGCCTGTGGTTGAGGAGAACTCAGGTTCTCTGCCTGAGTTGGCAGATGGACTTCTCAAGGGAGCCATGGTCCCTTGTTGAACAGAGGTTCTCCATTAGAGTTGTCGATGGGACAGAGTGTTGAGTAGGAAAGAGGACATTGGGGGTAGTGTCTTGGGTGCACAAAGAGGGTGGAGGAGGTTCAAGGGTTAGCAGTCTATTTGGAGTTCTGGCATTTGCCCTGGCTTCTGGTCTAGCAATGAGTCTTAGCCTGAGTTTTTCTACTGTTCTTCTGGCTGCTATAGGCTGCACTTGTGCAGGGGATAGAGTCTGGAGTTGGGGTCAGGGATAAGGCAAAGTGGTGATGGTGGAGGAATGGTGGGGGAATGTGCCTTTTAGACCTGAGGGAGTAAGAGTGTTTCACAGGCAAGTTGCCTACCTGTTCTGGCTGGAAGGGCCTGCATGTGAGTAGGAGATGTCTTCCTGAGTTGTTTGATGTTTCTAATAGATTCTGAGGTGGCACATATTAAGAGGTGGAGTCCACATGCACATTTACATCAGACTAGAAAATCTGAAATGTATGCCTCCATTTGTCTTCACAAGTCTTCTGTGTGAAAAGTATTCTGTTAATCTTATATTTCTCTAGCTTCTGTCATTCTGAACCATCTCTACATACTTATTTCTCATCTCAGTTTATGTATACTTAATATGTATAATATATATAACATAGACTATGAGGATTCAATAATCACTGAAGGAAGACCTCAGACTCAAATAATATGCAAAAGTAAGGAGCATGCAGGGGTCAGCCATTCATTCCAACATGGTAATGAGAAGATAAGCTTGCAGGCTCCTCTTTAAGTGCAGTTAGGGAAACTTCAAAGATTAGGTTAATTTTAATATGATTGTTTCGGTAAGCAGCAAGTACAGTAGTGCATTTTTGATTCATTGCTCTAATAGTTTTACCAGTTTTGGTCATGCCTTAGAGAAATTCCAGGAACTTTCTTAGTCCTTGTTTTGACTAGCTCTCTCAGCTACGTTACTGATTAATGGCCCATTGTCTGTGATTTTTTTCTGAGAAGCCTTTTCTACTTCCTTGAAAAACTGAAATTTAAGGCCTAAAGTGTCTGCCTGTGGTAAAATGGAGAGGGTTAGGTCCTCTTAGTACTATACATACATATATATATATATATTTGTTTTTGTCTATATATATATATATATATAAAGCCCTGCATCACGAATATAAATTACTAAGTGCTTTAACAGGTTCCTTGAGAACAGTTTTAAATTTACAGATTTCATGTGATGATATAAAGATATTGTACTAAGCCTACATATACAAACTCTGTCCTCATATGAGCATCTTTTATGAACAATTGGGGTTGGTAACAATAGTAAGTTAACACTGATGTTAACCCTGATTGAAGTTTACAATTACTAGACTTTCATCTGGGGCACCATGTTGTATTTTACTGTCACATCTCTTTAGTTTTCTCTTGGTTGTAAAATGTCTTCAGAAGATCCTTATATTCAATAATTTGTATCTGCATGATGACTAATCTTATAGGATAATCACCTATTAACATTTTTGGAATTATTGTCTAGAAGGTGGATGACAGGTGTGAAATGCTAGTCTAATCACACTGTACACAGGGTCTAAATTATAAAAGTATGATAGACTATTGACTTCACTTGATTGTCTACTGCAGGTAGGCTATTTAAAAGCATACCTTCTTTTTATCATCTCAATCTTTTATTTCTTTAGAAAACATTTATTCTTCTCTCACACACACATCCCAACTGAAGCCTGCCTATCTTCCATTATACCTGTCCCAATACTTCCCTTATTTCCAAGTTCTACTGCTCCCCTATTTCCTTTCAGAAAAAGCAGGCCTCCTCTGCTCATGGGATCCCTTTCTTCCTACTGTGTTGCCTTAATCAGCCTTGATATGAGTGTTTATGTATAATCTATGAGTGTTTATGTATAATGCCATGTCTGTTTGATAAAAGTATACCTTTTAGAAAGGTTAACCACAGGTATTGGAGACTCATCCCTGGGAAAAAATTAACTTTCCCTCTTGGAAGTTATTCATTTCCTGTAGGTCTTATAACAATAAAAATAGGTCATGAATTTGAGGGAGAAGAGGGTACATGTAGGTATTGGAAGAAAGAGGAGGAAAAATGATATAATTTTAATTAAATGTAAAATAAAAAACCCTCATTTTTTCCTCCATTTTTCTACACTATAATTTTTTGAGGGATGTTGCCATATATAGCCCATACTATGGTGGGATATTGGGTTAGGTTCTACAAAAGGAAGAATAATATATGTGTCTGTATCTATCCAAGTTCTTCATAGTGGTATATAATATTCTTATTTTTCTCAGCCTTGTTTATGTTTTACCATTGAAAATGTAATTTCTTAGTAACCCATTTAACCCTGAATGCTTTGGTCATTTGGGCTTCTATCTCTTCCCATTGTCTGACGTTTTCCCATCTCTTTGATGTTCTTGGTTTCCATTTAAATACATAGGAATATATACATGATTGTGAATATATCTCTGTATATCTGTTACAATGTGTTTCTCAATTCTTTGTTTTATTTTTCATGTCTTTTACAAATATTTATTTATTACAGTCAGATTAAAGATCATGGTAAGAGATTTTCTTTCTTTCATGCATTCTTTCATTCATTATGTCTGTTTTGCTTCTGTTATTTAATTCAATTTCTATGGTATTTGTTTTTCCAGTTAACTGATTTCTGTGTCACCTTCATTCTACCATATCCACTACATTTAAATATATTATTCTCAAATATTTTACTATTATAAAACAGAAAAACACATAGCTACAGATTCAAAGAATTGTGATTAAATACATTAGATATTAATTTGGATTTTTACCTTTTGTATGCATTCTCTTTCACATTTTTTTCTGGACTCTTTCTTATATTTTTGTGAGACCCAGATGATTTACTTTAAATCCTAAGAGTCTGGGTGTCCTTTCCACTCCATTTTTCTTGCTTTTCCTGACACTCCAGTTTGACAAAGAGCCCTGACTTTAGAGATAATGGAGTTAGACTTGGGTATCTTGGTAACTGAGGGTAAAGGACTCCTGCTGCATCTGGCAGCAGGAGGGAGTCTTAGCTTTCATGTGTTGTCTGTCCACAAACAGCTTTTAGGATTACTTTATTACACTGCATTTACATTTCCTTCTTCCCCCAAAGAAAAAGTCTGGAGCTGTTGTCCAGAGGATTGGAAGCCATTTGGTTCCCACTGCTACTTGATTTCCACAGTCACTTCAAATAACTCATCATCATATTGGATGGAAAGTGAGGAGAACTGCTCTCGCATGGGTGCTCATCTGGTGGTGATCCATAGCCAGGAAGAAGAGGTACATTCTGGAAGAGACTGGAGCCTGAGCCCAACATGCTGTCTGCCTGTTTCTACTAAGAGGGAGTTTTGTTGACTTGGGTGTTAGTGCTGTGGCAGAAGGCTTTCTAGCAGATATGCAGGAATGGTGGCTTCAGCCTTTGCCTTCCACACCTTGGTCCTGTTTCAGTGGAACTAAACCCCAAGAGACCATGGAATCAGAAATTCAGCACATGATGATGAAGGGAAGGATGAAATGTTTCTGCTTGAAAGACCAGTTTGTGATTTCTGCACTCTAATGCGTCTTGTAGTATCAACTGCTTTACAGAGAAGGGAATCAGTGAAATAGGACCAAACTGGAAGGGTCATGACCAGCCATCAGAAATGAATTATCTGAAGTTATGAATGGAGAGTGATTAGATGTATCCAATTCTCTCATACACAATTGTCTAGAATAGTGTTGGTAAAGAAAGGAGGGGAGTGAGTCTGACATGAGAATTCATTATGATCATGGAAAGAGATTGTTTTCCAGAAATGTCAAAACATGAGTCATGTTTTAAAAAGTGTCTTCATAATTTGGAGGAGTTGTACACTTTGGGCATGGGATGGAGGGTGGGGGGAAATGCCCACTCCTGGTGGCAGGGAGTATACTATTGAATGGGGAGAGAAGACATATATTACAGGGTGGAGGAGCTAATGTGTGCTCCGGGAGGGGCAAGGCTCTTTTATTTCTTGATCCAGGTCAAAATATCACAATGTACCTCTGCAATGTATAATTCTTGATATTAACCTCAAATTTGAAAACTATTTAAGGGCCTAGAGAGATGAAGTAGGATATGATTATTATGTATTTGCATATGTACATCATGCTGAACCCTATAACTTTGTGTCATTGAAATCATTTTTCAAAGACATTATAAGAAATTCTGTAACATAAAATGAATCACTTAGACTAGGCTGAAAGCTGTTCTTTGTTTCCCCCTAGGATTTCATCACCGGGATCTTGAACACTCGTTTGGCTTATTTTATAGGGTTGTGGGATACAGGTGGTCGACAATGGCGATGGGTTGATCAGACACCGTACAATGAAAGTGCCACGTGAGTCTAGACTTAAATAGAGTAATTCTGGGTTCTGTACCATGAGAAATATTTGAGTTGTTCCAGCTGTTGATTATGAAACTCAAATAACTTTCTCCTGGTGTTACTGCTGGAGATGGAGTCATTTTTACTCACCCATTTATTCATCACAGGAGTCCTATGAGACACACATTATGATATTCCCAGTAGAGATGAGGAAATTCAGTTTAAAGAATGTAGAATATAAGAAACCAGGGCACCCAGTCAAAATCCTTACACCTAGATGTGTTTTATTTTGCTTTCAGCTTTTCAGTCTACATCTTTAAAAATAGACTTTAATTCATTTTTACTCATGTCTCTATGTGTGTTTCTGTTAGGGACTACTATGTGTATTTGGGTGTCTGTGGAGCCTAAAGACTTGGGTGTTGGATCTCCTGGAGCTGGATGGCATAGGAGGAAGCCTGGACAATATGAGTTCTGAGAACAGAACCCTCAATTTTTTTTTGAAAATAAGCAAGCATCTGATCCACCTCTCTAGCCCTCACTTATATCTTTATAAGAAAAATTGGTGTCAAGTTTACAACTGGTCATTTCTTTTTTTCTTTCCTTTTTTTTTTTTTTTTGATGTTTCAAGATAGGATTTCTCTATATAGCCCTGGCTGTCCTGTAACTCACTCTGTAGATCATCCTGGCCTCGATCTCAGAAATCCACCTGCCTCTGTCTCCCAGTGCTGGGATTAAAGGCTTGTGCTACCACTGCCAGGCCATAACTGATTATTTCTTACAAATCAACAACCTTTAATCTGTTGTTGTATTTCATAAAGACCTTCTAACTCAGCCCATGTCCCAGAAGGAAAAGTCCCTTCTCCATGCTGTCTTAAATACCCTACGAAGTCAATGTTCTTCCTTTACTTTCTGTGCATCCCTCTAGACTACCTCTCACTCTCAGTGGTATTTTCTTATGTCCAATCACTGTCAACTGGTTGTTTCTCTACTTCTCTATGGTTGACTTTATTTAATCCTAAATACAGAAAGCTCTTGAATTAAAGTTGTGTGCTCAGACTGAGCCACACCATAACTTGTTTATAATAAACAGAAAGCTCTTGGATTAAAGACGGAACCACACTACAGCTAGAAACAGGTTTTTCCAGCTTATAAATCGTGGGGCTCACAATGTGATCAAATATCCTGCAACAATAGTGAGGTTATTGTTTTCAATTATCAGAAAAGACAACTATGACTCCACAATTTGAAATTATTTGTTCTTGATGATAAAAATAAACTGATTTTTCCAGAGATTTCAACTAGTTCTCCAGTCTGTAAAGTAGTTCTTTTGTTTAATGGAAAAGCTTTATTAAAACATGAGCATCAGGAGAGACCTTTTCAACATCTAAATAAGAGCAATGGGTTGACTGTCCCTTGGTACCAAGACCTAGGGATGAAGAAATAGTTATCCTCTGGCTTGAGTGTTGTTAAGAAAAGTTAAGTAATAAGTTAAAAGAACATTGAGTGCTGTGGTCTCTGTTATGCAGGGAAGTGTAAGATATAGGTGATAGAGAACACTTCATTTGTACATACTTGAATTTGATCTCCAAAAATTCCAATCTTGTCCTCAGGCTCTCTTCCTCTTGCTTCCTTCTTTCAAGCATTATTGTAGGAAACACCCTGATGTTCTTTCCTTCTTTTCAGATTCTGGCACAGAGGTGAGCCCAACAATGACAATGAACAATGTGTTATATTAAATCATCGTTGGCATGAATGGGGATGGAATGATATCCCTTGCAGTCACAAACAGGAGTCAGTTTGTCAGATGAAGAAAATATACTTATGAATCCAACATTCTCCATGAGCATTTGATTTCATTGTTATGCATCATTACTCATACACCTGGGAATTTCTACAAGTGGAAGCGATGTCCACAGAATTTAAGTGGGAAGCAAATTGTTATGCATATGAAAACAGTGCTCCACATATATTCTTGGGTGTTCATCCATGTATTCTGTCATAAAATGAACTTTCATTGGGAATTTTCGTCATGCTAGGGACAATACAGTGACCCATTTGGGCACATATGGAGCTTTTCTGCCAACTCCTCAACATTTCATTTACTCATATCATTGTATGAGACGTTCCCCTGATCTGTTTGCTTTCTGTTTTTTAGTTTATCTTTGGTTTTATTGACATGAAATTGAGAAGTAAAATTATATATATATTTTAAATGGTAGTGTCTGGATTAACACACACACATATTACCAATACCTCCCATTACTTAACATCATTGTGTGTGTGTGTTAAGAACACTTATGATTATATAAAGAAAATTCAGATACGCAGGATGGTGCTAACTTTTGTCATTCTATTGTACCATGGATCTCAGTATTAACTTCTATTTTATCTGGCAGTTTGTACCCTTCATCAACATGTGAGAGATTCCAGAACCCAGCCCTTTACAACTATGTATTCTTCACTCTAACTCCTGAGATTATTTGATAAATTATTAAGTAACTAATTATTGGAATATTTTACAGATTATCTCCTTAGTCAATATCTCTACTAAATCATGAAAAGCAGCAGCCCCAGCCACCAACATGCAGTGGCTGTTGCTGTTTTGTGTGTTGTTTATATGATATTAAAGGATAATTCTGGATTACAGTTTAGATTTAGATAAAGAATGAAAAAAAGGCCCAACCTGATAATGTGGCTACAGTGCTGACTTAAAAAAATGTGAACTTCCATACCTACTATGAAATATGAGAAATGTTAACTTTTTTTTACTAGAAATTATATGAAAAACATACTGAAATGCCTGTTATTAAATAAAATTTAGCATCTTTTGACACAAGAAATTCTGATTAAATTGTTATAGAAAAGAAGAATATAGACAATTGTTTTCTTCTTTTCCAACATTTCATGTAACAAGCTAAGGGTGACAAATGGAAACACAGGCAAATCTTGCTTTGCCCTGCCCTATTTCAGACATATTTATGTAACCAGTTACGTAAGTCAATATGTGAAATCAAACTGTGGCAGCCTCTGAGGCAGCATTTCCTTCTTTGTGAGAAATTGAACATTACTAATTAAGCCAAATCTTTTCTTTAGAAAAAGAAAGCAGGAATAGTATTCTCTAAGCTGGAATTGTTACTTTATAGAATGATCATATTCACTTTACCATGAGCTGATTCTGATCAAAGCCAACAACATTTTCTGCTAGACCATTATGATCTGAATTCTGATGTATGAATTAAATCATGGCATGGGTTAAAATTATGAGACAATCAGTTTGTAGTAAATAGGCAGTGGATTCTATTCATAAGTAGTCTCTTTAAGCAAGACTCTAAGTCCATTTATTCTCCTGTCTTCTTAATCTCAGTAAATATCATCTCTGTTCTAAGGATCCTCAGGTCCTCCATCAGCATACTCTTCCCCAGAACGCGTCTATGTGCTTGGTCACATTTGTGTGACTTGATCCAGTCCAGAATTTTGCTACCTCTCCTTTCCACTGTATTACCCTAGGCATACTTCTAAAGAAAAATCTTGTAATTGTTTTCATTTCTTTGTTTTTCATTTTTTATTGGCTATTTTCTTTATTTACATTTCAAATGTTATCTATTTCACGGTCCTCTGAAACTCCCTATTCCATTTCCCCTCCCCTGCTTCTATGAGGGTATCCCCCACCCACCCACTCACCCATTGCTGCCTCCCCACCCTGGCATTCCCATACCCTGGGGCATTGAGCTTTCATAGGATGAAAGGCTTTTTCCCATTGATGCTTGACAAGGCCATCCTCTGCTTCATATGCAACTGGAGCCATGGGTCCCTCCATGTGTACTCATTGGTTGTTGGTTTTGTCTCTGGGAGCTCCAGGGAGTCTGGTTGGTTGATATTATTGTTCTTCCTGTGGAGTTGAAAATCCCTTATGCTCCTTCAGTCTGTTTCTCTAACTCCTCCATTGAGGATCCCACTGGGTCTAGACAGATACCAGGTGCCAAAGTTAAATCAGGATTAGATAAGCAATAACCATAAAGAAAATGTTGTTGACTTTGATCAGAATCAGCTCATGGTAAAGTGAATATGATCCTAAACAGTCCCATAACCATGAAAATAATAGAAGCAGTCATTAAAAGTCTCCCAACAACAACAACAACAGAAAGCTCAGGACCATATGGGTTTAGTGCAGAATTTTATCAGACCTTCAAGTAGACCTAATACCAATACTCTTCAAATTAGTCCAAAAAATTGAAACAGAAGGATCACTATCCAATTCGTTCTATGAAGCCATAATTATCCTTATACCTAAACCACACAAAAACTCAACAAAGAAAGAGTACTTCAGACCAGTTTCTCTTATGAACATCAATGTAAAAATACTCAATAAAATTCTCACAAATAGAATCCAAGAACACATCAAAACAATCATTCACCACAATCAAGTAGGCTTCATCCCAGGGATGCAGGGATAGTTCAATATACGGAAATCCATCAGCATAATTCACTACATAAAAAAACTCAAAGAAAAAAAACTCACATGATCATCTCACTAGATTCTGAGAAAGTACTTGAAAAAATTCAATATCCCTTCATGTTAAAAGTCTTGGAAAGATAAAAAATTCAAGGCCTGTACCTAAACATAGTAAAAGCAATATACAGACAAACCAGTAGCCAACATCAAATTAAATGGAGAGAAACTTGCAACAATCTCATAAAAATCAGGAACTAGCCCTTGGACTGGAGCAAACACAGAGTCGGTCTGCTCCTGTCCTGTGGAGAAACTGAATCCTGAGTCATCCAGGAGCCACTGCACTCAGAGCAGCTGGTAAGAACTCCATCTCACTCCCTAAGCCCCAGAGATACATCTGGGAGCCAGGGACATCCAGGGCACAGCAGCTACCCAAACCCCGCCCCTCCGGAATTCCACTTCCCTTCGGCCCCTGCCTGGTCCCTTGGACTGGAGCAGACACAGAGTCGGTCTGCTCCTGTCCTGTGGAGAAACTGAATCCTGAGTCATCCAGGAGCCACTGCACTCAGAGCAGCTGGTAAGAACTCCATCTCACTCCCTAAGCCCCAGAAAAACATCTGGGAGCCAGGGACATCCAGGGCACAGCAGCTACCCAAACCCCGCCCCTCCGGAATTCCACTTCCCTTCGGCCCCTGCCTGGTCCCTTGGACTGGAGCAGGCACAGAGTCGGTCTGCTCCTGTCCTGTGGAGAAACTGAATCCTGAGTCATCCAGGAGCCACTGCACTCAGAGCAGCTGGTAAGAACTCCATCTCACTCCCTAGGCCCCAGAAATACATCTGGGAGCCAGGGACATCTAGGGCACAGCAGCTACCCAAACCCTGCCCCTCCGGAATTCCACTTCCCTTCGGCCCCTGCCTGGTCCCTGGGACTGGAGCAGACACAGAGTAGGTCTGCTCCTGTCCTGTGGAGAAACTGAATCCTGAGTCATCGAGAAGTCACTACACTCAGAGCAGCTGAAACTGAATTCTGAGTCATCAGGGACCCACTGCACTCAGAGCAGCTGGAGCCACTGCACTCAGAGCAGCTGACACAGAGTTGGTCTGCTCCTGTCCTGTGGAGAAACTGAATCCTGAGTCATCTAGGAGCCACTGCACTCAGAGCAGCTGAAACTGAATCCTGAGTCATCGAGAACCCACTGCACTCAGAGCAGCCGAGGAGCCACTGCACTCAGAACAGAAGGATTACCAGATCCAAGAGGTGGCCTGAGTCCCAGGAGTTCTTCCACCCGGGAGATTAGGGGCATAAGACCACAGAGACCTCTGGACTCCGAGGAGCTCTGCAATAAGCAAGATAACTGGAAATACAGATTCCAATCTTACACAGAGAGGGCAGGTACCACTAGAGTTACCCAGATGGCGAAAGGCAAGCGCAAGAACATAAGCAACAGAAACCAAAGTTTCTTGGCATCATCAGTGCCCAGTTCTCCCAATATAGCAAGCCCTGAACACCCCTTCACACCTGAAAAGCAGGATTCAGAATTAAAATCACTTCTCATGATGATGATAGAGGATTATAAGAAGGAATTAAGTAACTCCCTTAAAGAAATACAGGAGAGTACAAGTAAACAGATAGAAGCCCTTAAAGAGGAATCACAGAAATCCCTTAAAGAAATGCAAGAAAACACAAAGAAGGAATTAAACAAACACATTCAGGATCTGAAACTGGAAATAGAAACAATAAAGAAAGTTCAAAGGGAGACAACCATGGAGATAGAAAACCTAAGAAAGAGATCAGGAGTCACAGACGCAAGCATCACCAACCGAATACAAGAGATAGAAGAGAGAATCTCAAATGCAGAAGATACGGTGGAAAATATTGACACAGTTGTCAAAGAAAATGAAAAAAGCAAAAAACTCCTAACTCAAAACATCCAGGAAATTCAGGACACAATGAGAAGACCAAACCTAAGGATAATAGGTATAGATGAGAATGAAGATTCCCAACTTAAAGGGCCAGTAAATATCTTCAACAAAATCATTGAGGAAAATTTCCCTAACCTAAAGAACAAGATGCCCATAAACATACAAGAAGCCTACAGAACACCAAATAGACTTGACCAGAAAAGAAATACCTCCCGTCACATAATAATCAAAACATCAGATGCACAAAACAAAGAAAAAATACTAAAAGCAGTAAGGGAAAAAGGTCAAGTAGCATATAAAGGCAGACCTATAAGAATTACACCAGACTTCTCACCAGAGACTATAAAAGCCAGAAGAGCCTGGACGGACATCATACAGACCCTAAGAGAACACAATTGCCAGCCCAGATTACTATACCCAGCAAAACTCTCAATCACTATAGATGGTGAAAC